TAACTGGAATTATACATTTCAGGATTGAAGGACATAGAATAACTATGCCTAGCACATGGAAGCATTCCAGTGACATCTCTAACATGGGATACCCATGCCGATACTCCTGGCGGTCTTGGTACTCTTGGTATGCAAAAGCGCTCAAATAATGAAAGAATTCCGTAGCAAGTGAAAATTATTCTGTCCAAAAACCGCCGGGATGCCCTTAATTATTGAGATTGAATGTACTAGTAATTAAATTATCGACAACTTTTCTGATTCTTAAAGACACTTTTCAAAGTACTTCACCGGATGTTTCTTGTTTTGTAAAGTGTCTGTGGAATCTTCGCCTATTTTTGAGAAATCACAAATTGCGCTGAAAAAGAAACCGATAAAAGTGTACCTGATCGAGCATGTGGTACCAGCCGTTGCGTTCATTTTGGAAGAATGTGTCAGGGATCCAAAGTGCCTGGTCACGAGCAACATGAATAATATCAAAATTACGAAAATCGCTGTGATCCGTGAAGCGTAAACGATCATCAAACCATTCTTGTTGAAAACGAAATTGTGCTACAAATTCCTGCAGAAATAAACGGAAAAATATTTTAAAAATAATAATAGAGGAGTTTTGTCAGCATAAATAGCTCCAAACCCCAAGTATTTAGCGGTAGCATGTAATTTTTTACACTTTTTTCCAACGTATGCTTACTACCAAGAGTAGTAAGCATACGTTGGAAAAAAGGTCAACATGCATTTCTGCATAACAAAAACCAATGAAGCGCTAAAAAAGTTAGGAAAAAGAGTTGTATTTAATAAACAGCTTTTACCATATTTCTTTCACTAATTGCGCTAATAGAACGTATTTTCATGCTCGTCCATACGATGACCGGCCCTTCTGAAATTTATGTTCATTTAGAGCTTCTGCGGTGGCTTTCGAATTCTACAAAAATTCTGTATTTCTACTGTCAGATTTGATGAAACTTAGTATTAGCAGAGAAGGTGGAAAAATTCAAAATCAAAAATAAGATAAAATAAAAAGGCCGAAAAAAAAAAAATAAAAACACAGTTGGAAGTTAATAGTAGCTTCCCTTTAGATTCGGCTATTACCACAACTGCTTGCTGTCCCTTTTGATTTGACTACTACTGCTAACTTTACTTCTAATATTAATAGTATTGCTACTAC